TACGTTTGTTCAGTTCGGCATCCTGGAGGCGAAGTGCTGAGGTGGTGAGCGAGGTGAAGTCTTGAGTTCGGATAGGGGAATGTCCCGAACTGCCATGAGGCGGGCCAGTTCGGGTCATTGCCTTTGTGTGTGAGGTTCAGGCTCCTAGTAGGGAGTTCGGACTGCTGGTTCCTCCCTTCGGTGCTCGTGCCTTGGGCGCGCTGTTGTGCTGAGCTGTTTGCMTTTGCCACGTGTTGAGTGATTACGAGATCGGGCCAAATCTTCCTTCATCAGATATGACACTAAACAAAACAGAATGGAGAAATAGGATTCATGTAACCAACCTGGTATAGTACAACAAGGCTAAGATGATGCTGGTGATGATATATAAAACAATATTTTTTTAATCAAACTCGGATTTTAATCGAATTAGATGGGGTTAAATCTACATCTAATCTAATTATAATTAGATGCAAATTTTAATATCCAAATATGGGCAATTGAATCAAATGTAGAATTAGATACTGGACTCTGGACCATTTATTAACAGCCTAAATACAAAGCATTGTAGAAATGAGGCTTTTGCACTTCAATATATGTATCTCATTCCACCTTCTCAAAATCCAAAAGGAACTTGACCCAAAATGTTTAATAACATTCATGTATAGAACCATGGTGTTGTGTTTATGTTTAGGGTCATCATCTAGACATTTTGGGGGTGTTCTACAACATGAATGTTTTTGTTTTCATTTGTTTTTGAAATCGCTATATCAAAAAAAACAAAAAACATAAATTTTTGTCAAAAATCAAATTTCCAATAATTCGCAAATCGTAAGAACGAGCTGTATGAAATATACACATTGAGGGATGATATCAATATATTCAAATTCAGAGTCACATAACAAATTAAGAAAGGTAGACTACAACCAATTTCTCTCCATTGATAGGAGACCACATATTCACACATGAGGCTTGCAAAACGAATTTAACATAACAATGATAATATAACCAAATAAAGAATAATAAGTCACTTACGCAATGCATCATGTCCAAAAGCCTATAAACCAATGAGTAATCGTTACTACCAATTTCAAAACTAATATTGCTAAATTCATGATGTATATGTTTATTAGCTTAGGTTTTAAGGCTCTTAGATTTCTAATTTTCAGCAGGATCAAATTTTAGCATATGTAACTTACACTTCAGCCACTTAAAATAAGAATTTATTTTCCAATATAAACTTTTCAAAGCATATTACAAATTAAAATCGAGTCACATTTAGAAATGTCACAAAATGATTAAATAGCCTAAAGTTGGTTGTCGACCAACATTGCTAGAATTTCCGAATTTACTGTGTTCATAGACCCAACTTCGAAGACTCATAACTTCAAGATCAGTTGTCCATTTCGCATTTCACATGTGTGACCTATCATGATGAAGAGCTTATGACATACTACAACTTAAAACATCACTTCTGGCCAAAAAGATCATCAAATGGCTCCTTTACGACAACCTAAAATCGATCAATTGCTAAATTTTTCTTAAATTCCCAAATTTAACATATTTAGGATACTGACTTTTAAAAATCATAACTTGCTATCCAAAAATCTAAATAAAGAGTTCTACCTGCCATTTTGAAAATCTTATTGAGAATTACAATTTAGAATCAAAAATTTTCAATCCAAATAAGGAGTTCTACCAGCCATTTTGAAAATCTCATTGAGAATTACAATTTAGAACCAAAGTTCGATTAAAAACATTGTCGGGATGCTGATTTTTTATGACCTAAATTTGGAATCCAGAAGATACAAGGTTGGATTTGTTCAAATCCTAATGATGTGATACCTCTACCAGAACTATTTTCTTTGTCGGAAAGTGGTCGAAAAACGAGTGTTTGGCAAAAAACCTTATTCTAATTTTAATATGTAAGAAAATGAAAACTCATGGAAGAAAAACTTACCTAAAGAGTGATTTGATGCCAAAGAATCACTAAGGTTAAGCCCCACCTTGATTCTCCCAAGTTATATTGTCTTCAACTTCTCTTACATCTAAAAACAGAAAAGATTAAAAAGTTTCTTACATTAGTTAATAAAAAAAAGGTTTCCTTTTCCGTTCTTAACACATCTTGCATTCTGTGCACCCGTGGGTGCACTAGACGAGTGCACCCACGAATGGCGTATCGACACATCAATACGCCTAACGTGTGCGTTAACACGGTCTAGTCTGATTCGCGAGGAAACGAACCGATTGAATGTTCAATCAAAAAGCCCCTTTTTCCCAGTTTCATAGACTCTTCTTCCAGTTCTTTCGTCTCTTTCTCTCCACTTAACCCTACCCATACAACAAAAAAACCCTCGAATCAACGGCAATAGAGTTCCGGCGGCGACAACATATCCTTCTTCTCTTCTTCTTCTTCGACTCTCCATTATTCTTCTTCTTAGTCTTCTCCAGTGGTAGGTCCAATTTGAAGGACGAACAGGTAGGACATGTCGACTAGAAACAAGGGGTTTTTTAAAAGGAGGATATGGTAATAGGGGTGTTTAATCTACTAAAACAGGGGTTAGGGCTTGGGGAGATTAGCTTTGTTCTAACGACTGATGACTGTCGGTGTGAGGAGTAATGGTTCTCGGAAGAAGAAGAAGAAGAAGAAGAAAGAGAAAGCATGACTAACACGCAGGCCATGCGTTCCTCCTCATTCTCCCTCCATTTTGCAAAGTTTTTGTTGCTTTCCTGCACCGAACCCTATCCACACACCGGCGGGCATCGGCGGCAAAACGTTTTATAGCCTCCTCTTCTCTTCTTCTCCGTCAGGAATATACGTTCAAATTTGTGGGACTGGGAGAACCGAAGAAGTGGCGAAAATGGGAGGAGGGACTGAGGGAGTTTGCATGAAATCCCTTTGAAAGAAATCCTTCAATTTTTTTTTTTTTTTTTGACTTTTATGGGCAGTTCAACCGGAGGAGAATCGACAATAACCAGTTCAACCAGCCAAATTATTAATAACAGAGAAAACTTCCGTTAATTCATGATTAACACGTGTTCGCCTCTCATTCACAGGTGTACAGAATGCAACCTCATCTTTTCATTTTTACTAAGTGGTCCCCAATAAAAAAAATTACAAATAGCATTCGCCTACAAGTCACATCGCACTTCTCCCACTACTATCATTAGGAGTGTTTTTCTTTTTTTTTGGTAGAGTTCTAAGATCCAAACCACACCAAATGATGTTTTGGGGCGCATTCTCAATGAATGGTGGTACTGACAACAAACATGCTATGGCTGGTTATGTCCAGAATCTAGTGTTTCAGTTTTTTGGCTCTAGATTGCAGTACAATGGTTTTAACATCTAGGTCCAATGAGTCAATTCTTTGATGTCATAAAGCAAGTAATATATAAATAATAAATAAAAATGTAAAAAAATTACAAAAAAAAAAGTTGAACATATTTCTAACATTATATATTCATAGTATTGAATGAAATTAAGTATGAAAAGTATTGTTATTAAATAATACAAAATGCCAACCAGCTGGTTGGTAAGATCTCCTGCTAGTTGTAGGCTTGTAGCGAAACTTGGGGTCAAATCCCAGCTGCACTTGGGATAGGGAGGTGTTATAGCTTGGGGGATGGACCATTAGTAATGAAAATGGCTAAAAATAAATAAATAAATAAAAGCAGTATAAAAAATTAATGTTCAACTCATAACCCACTAACTAGGTTGAACAAATCTTCAAATTGGTAAAACCCACCTACAGCATACAAATTTTGTATAGAAGTGAGTATAAATTTAGACAAATGGAGTTGATCGAGTTAATTACCGAAAAACTAGTAATAAATGGAATTAATTACACAATATAAAGCGTTGTAAAAAAAAAAAAAAATACATGGTTATGGTATCATGGTGTTACAAAGCCATTTTATCGCCACGTAAACACCGTAAAAGTGTGTTGACTTGTCCATTTTTACTGCACCATCTCAAGTTATGTAAAACTAACCTTTCGAGGAAACATCGGTTCAGACTTCAGAGGATGCATTTCATTTCATTTCATCTTATATGATGCCTAATGGCAACTAATGGCATTTATACAACAATTGTAATTTGTAACATTATACTTCATGCCTAAAGCCCTAAACCATTTTTTTTTAACATTTTCAATGTTTAAAATTAAGTACAAATGTACCTCCACAATGCCTGATGGGCATCGATAAAGGTGGCATTGAATTTGAAATTGATATGAGTGGATGATATAGGGTAGGGCTAGATTTATATTATTGAAGCGGTACCTGTATGGCTGTGTATGAGATGAGATCATGAGAAGGCATATAATAACAATAACAACAGCAAAAGATAAAAATTAATTAAAAGAAGACCAAGAAGGAAAATGAAAAGAAAGAAAAGGTGAGGAGGGAATGGATCAACACAACAGAAATTCTTCACAAATTCCGCTCTATGAACTCCCAAATCCTCTGTTCCATATAAATACGGTCTCTTAGGGGGCGGGGCATGTGGCGTTCATCAGGAAAAACCAGAAGCTCATAGGGTTTTGCAGCTGCAACAATTGCATTTATGAGCCTTGCAGTGTGCCGGAAATGTACATTCTCATCCATCATTCCGTGCACAAGTAACAACCTCCCTCTCATCTTGTGCACATGGTGCATCACCGAGCTATACTCGTAACACGCAGCATTCTCCCAGGGCAACCCCATGTACTTCTCTGTGTAAAACGTATCGTACCCATCCCATGCTGTCACAGGGGCGCCACACACTGCACATCCGAATGTGTCGGGGAACCTGGCCAAAGCCATGGCCGAGAGGTACCCTCCGTAGCTCCACCCATATAAGCCAATACGCCCTGCTTTCGCAAGCCCTTGTTTTACCAGCCACTCCGCTCCACAAAGCTGATCTTCGGCATCAATGCGCCCAAAGTTGTGTTTCATATGGCTCTCAAACTTGATTCCACGTCGAGCACTCCCTCTGTTATCCAACTGTAAAAGTAAAACCAAAACCAATTCTGTTAACAAATAATATTTTAGAAATGCTACAACAAGGCATTTCTCACTACAATAACTTCGATGAGGAGCCCTCCCTTCAATTGCCATTTGCCACACGTATGGAGGATCTGGACCCACAACCAAATAGGTCTCACCTGAATGATCAATTGTCCAAAAAATCAAAAATATATATATATATATATTAGATCATTTTCAGCTTCTCAGTTATTGTTCTTTTTTTCTTGGAATTCAAATAATAGCTATCAACCGTTGGATACTCTGTCTTAACTTTCTAATCCAACAAATTTAACTAGGATCATTTGACTGTGCTGCTGCTTAACTTGTTGAAAATATCGCTTAGTGCAGGGCCCATCTGATTGTGTGGTCTGATCTTCATTTCTGTCCATTGGTTCTATCCTCTAAGCAAGGCATGGCCTAGGCCACTAAAAAAAAGGTTGTGAAAACATTTGGATGGTTATAAAAGATTGCTAATCAAGCCATAAAAGGCTAATAACAAGAGAATACCATGAACTAAGTACTTTATCTGCATTGGAAAAGCAATTAAATATCAAAGCCATCCAAATAAGACCCAATACTCTAGGCCTAGACAGTACAAGTCAGTGGTATCAAATAAAAATCTGATCCCTAATATTCAGCCCCTTTTTTATCAGTAACCTAATATTCAGCCCCTTCTATCTCACCCCGTGTGTTCAATGTTCCTTGGGAGAAATCCAAATAATGTGTACTCTCTACAATCATAGTTGTCAAGCAAGGTGTCTCGCCTAGGTTTTATGGCACCTAATTGGTGTTGCCTTGCCCCATGACTTGTGCTTTAAATAGGGTGGCCAATTTTAGGTGTAGTTTGTGCTAATCATATCATATTTTGTATGAAGAACCATATTATAGGTTCAGTAATGTAGTAATTTATTCACTACGATAGGGCTTCAACTTGTGGTCTACATCACGGTATTCTACTATAAATACTTTTGTTCATAGGCTATGTAGTCTTACTGCAGTTGTACTATTAATGTTTGATACTTGCATGTCAGATCATTTGTAAAAGTTTATAGTTTCTATTCAACTAAGGAAACAAACTGATTCATAAAATAACTAAAGAAACAAGTTAGAATGAACTGAGTTTCTCTAATGAAAAAATCCACACCTAGAGGTGCTCCATAAAAGATGCATTTTAAACGATAATATAATAACATAAGATATATTGTGTGATGCGAGTCAATAGGCCAATAAACTCCTACGCAATAACTAATAACATAAGATATATTGTGTGACTGCTGTCTAGAGTACTGCCAATGCAATTGGGATTTTGGAAGTTTTTCCGCCTTATAACCCAAGCAGGACACTGGCAAACAGTTGGTAAATATTCAAAAACCAAGGGTGAAATAATAGAACATTCAAGCTGTCTTTACAAAGAAAACTAGAAACCTAGTTTTAAGATACACCTGTGAAAATACTCACCTTCCATACTAAGATGCCCTTACTCCGGAAATACTGAGCTCTCATATCCACTGTATTCATCCAGGAGTCGCAAACAAGCTGGACATTGGGCCCACCATACACACTGATCAAGGTTTTGTACGGTGGAGGTCCAAATCTATCTGCATCAGGCTTGTATAAGGCTCCATATAAGATGGTCCCATCATTAGCAGGTATCTGGACAATCTCTGGCGGTTGAAGTTGGAGCTTTTTTGATCGTGAAGTGGTGGATGGCTGCTCATATAGAGGCATTATTAAGCTTCCATCATGCAATGAACAAAGCAATACCCTAGGTGGAGAGCTCAAAGAATCATGAACATCAACAAACCTCTGCAACTGATGATCAAGCACAACTATATGCCTCCCTTTGCCATGAGTCAACCTCCGTGGTGCATCTAATGGGTACCTCCTATCAGGGAACAGGCTTGTGCAATACAAATTAGATTCCAAAGGTCCATCCACAGTTCCAGTAAAATACACAAGTCCTGCAGCTTCATTCACACCAGCAATTTGCTCAACCATCCAGTCACCCTCAGTGAGAGGTCCCAAGCAATCTCCATTAATGTCATGAAGATAAAGATGCCGAAAACCTGTTTTCTCACTTGCCCATATAAATCCCCCAGAGAAATGATCCACTCCCTTGTCCACAGGTGTAAAACAGTCATGAAAATTAATCCATGGATCTCCTTTTTCTACCAATATAACGTTTCTCTGGCCTGTGTTAATATCAAACTTCAGGATTTTCAGTATGGAATGGGACCTATTCAAAACCTGAACGATGAGAATATTTCTAGGCATCCAATTGACTCTGGCCAAATATTCTTCATCTTTGATGGACTGATCTTTTTCTCCACAAAGAATGTCCATCCAAGTAATTGGACCCCCAGAAGCAGAAACAACTCCAAGCCGGACTTTGACATTTGATGCTCCTGCAAATGGATAAGCATGGTCTTCCTGAGCATCTGAACCAACTGAACTCTTACCCTGATGCATGATTCTGAAAAGGGGTATTTCAGATGAATCAACTTCAGTGAATGCAATGTATTTGCTGTCCGGTGACCACCAGAATCCATTCTTTCGATCCATCTCTTCCTAGAGTAAGAAAATATTGAGAATCTGAGAAAACTTTTGCCCAGAAAAACTACATACATAAACACGGAAAGAGAGGATATATATTATCATGAGAGAGAAAGAGAGAGAGTCTCACCTGGGCTATATATTCAGCAAGACCATGACTCTGAAATAACAAGAAAAGAAAAACAAAAGTGAGATTCAAAAATACTATCAAAAGGTTGCTTCTGAGCTAAGTAATTTAATTTCTCTGAAATCCAATGATATCCACCTTACATGCACATCAAAAAGAACATAAAATGCAGCAAGGGTCATTCCATTGTGGAGCCCATAAAACATAAATTTACAAAACTAACACCATAAACTAGCATCTTTCTACTAAATCCTTGTTTGAAATGTGGCCCTTGTGACTTAAAGGTCCATAACAGTTCAAGCCCATAAGCATTCTTCCACCATATTATGGAGGTATATTGTATATGGTTTGTTAGGAGATTCCCAAATTTTCTAACTAACAATAAGGTGGTTTTTGGAAATCTGAACCATTGACAATTTTGTCTGAAACTAATTAGATAAGTCCACCGTATTATGGAGGTATATTGTATATGGTTTGTTGGGAGGTTCCCAAATTTTCTACCTAACAATAAGGTGGTTTTTGGAAGTCTGAACCATTGACAATTTTGTCTGAAACTAATTAGATAAGTGGTTATCCCCCTTTTTAGTCCATTTTCTTACACATCAGATAGACCCACTTACATACGAAATTTTACTCTGATAAGTGATTGAATCATCAATATTCTATACAGGTGTTTTTGCTCTTTCAACATTTTAGAACTTTCTCATATCCATGCTCAAAGAGAGGAAAGTGTAATTGCCACTCGAACCCAAGGTTCAAAGTATCGATACGTATCGGCCTGTATCAGCCGATACGTATCGTGCCGATGGCTTCTCAATACCGATACGCCCCTCCAGGGGTTGTATCGGGTCAGACCATGGTTCAGAGGGTAGTCAAGCCTTAAACCGACCCCTCTGAACCGGTTTTGAAAAATAAATAAATAAAACTTAAAAAAAAAGTACCAACGTACCAGCTTGTGTCGATACTTTGAACCTTGCTCGAGCCAACAAATCTAGCATGATAGTCTAATCATACTTTAGACAGATCCCATTAAAGACATAAAAAAAGCTCTTGTCCTAATAAGATTTTATCAGACCTCAGAGGTATTAGACTTCAGATTTACAAATACCACCTAAGAGAAATACTGAATAAGATCCCAAAATTGTTTTTTATCAAGCCAGATCACAAAAATAAAGAAAAAACTAAAGCAAAGGTCCACTACTAAAGCAGTCTAGTTGATCTTATGTAACCAAAGTATGGTAAAGTATAACTGAACACAACATCGATACAAAAATATGAMTATCATCATTTTGTCACTTGAAACAATGATAACAGTAGCGAATAAATAAATAAATAAAGACTAAACAAAGTGATGTCCAAGAAAAATAAAGCTCACCAGAGCATTTCCCTCAGCTCCAAATGTTAATTGTTTCTCTGTGCCGTACAACAGGTTGAAAACATGAAGCTCATTGTTTCTTACATAGGCAAGCATATTTCCATCTGGAGAGAGAGATGGATCAATGATATGTGAGCATGGTGTGCTAGGCAACTTAAGCTCTGGCTTAGAACAAGAAAGATCCTGGAAATAGATCTGACAGTAGAGAATCCAAGTCACTCAAAGTTCAATACAGTATAAATATAAAGGGAAAGAGTGAACACGTTCAGATTCAAACTGATAGCAGTAGTCCTAAGCAAGAAAACGACAAGTTTAGTGAAGCAATTGTGTAGTAAGAACCAATTGCATTGTCAGAGCATCACATAATTAAAGAGAACCATCTGGATTAAAAACAACAAACAAAAAAGTAAAGGGATAAGACAAAAGAGCTTCAACTTCCAAAAGTATGAATCTGAACACCAAACATGTTATTTTCAAATCATAGACATAAAATGCAACTAAAATCGATAGGCAAAAGTTGAGAATAAGCAGCATGATCATTGGTTTTGGGCCATGCAGTTATCACAAAAATTGGTAAAGGAATAAATTTTGATAACTTGAACATAAAAATTTCAACAAATTAAACAAGCTTTAATAAAAACTATAAAAAACAATCTTAGAGAGACAGAAAGAAAACATGATTCTTTTACTCAAATTATAGATTATACAAATTAAAGGCCCATAGTTTAGCAATGGATATGGCACTGAAATGGAATGGTGGAACAGGATTCATGTTAGGACAAGGCATAGATGATGATGATGATGATGATAGAAATGCTTTCACTTCTCATGGCAATACGTTGTACTGATAAACACTATTAAGAGTTCAAGACAGATAAACACTAGTTTAAGGAATATAAGTACACCGGAATCAATATACAATTAATTCGTTACATAAATTATAGTATTAGATTGTAGTTTTATTGAAGTAGGAAAGATTTATTGTATTAACTTTCTGAAACATGGGTATTAGTGAGAGCCTTAGCATTTTCATATCATTTACAAATAACATGTCCTTGTAGCATCTTAATGAGTGAATGAAAAGAAAATGTTAGTAATCCAGAGAACGAAAGACCTAATGCAACATTGCCTACCTAAATGCATCCAAATATGAATAAAACATTAATAGTTAAGAGAAAAATTGTTTATGTACTACACTAATTGTTCTATACATATCCACATATTCATCACAATTCAAATCTTCTTCCATGGTTCTTTCCCAATAGCATCTCCTAGGTTTTCTCTACTACAAGAGACAATTCCAGGAGAGACTAATAAAGTTCAAGAACTCTAGCATTTTTCTTGTCCTGGTCCCATTCCCCAGACCCTGGGCTACGGTCAGTAATTACAACAAAAGAGGATAGAAATGTGGTGGGGAAACAGAACATGCAATGATGTGAAGACCACACAATACCAAGATAGAGACCTATGACTATGAGGTTGCAGTGCATAGCAAACCCATACACCAGAAAATCAAGCTTTAGGGAAGAAGAACCATTTAGTTGGGGGATARTGCGTAGAAGCAAGAAACTAGGAGGGTTGGGAGTAGGCAACTTGAGATCAAAAAACATGACCTTATAAGGAAAGTGGCTTCAGAGGCTTCCATTGGACCAAGACAAGTGGCATGGGGTGGGTATGGAGTATTGCATGCTAATGGCTGGGATGCTGGGGTAAATGCAAAAGCAACATTAGCTTCCTGTCTGAAGCAATTCCAGGTTTCCTCTCTTGTTTCTTATGATTCATACCGATACCGTATGATTTTTATGCTCGGGGCAACTTTTTGTTTTGGGGATATCTCTGGTGGGGTAATGTTCCTTTGAAAGACTAATATCCTTATCTTTGCAGAAATTCTTGAGATTCTTGCTTTGACTAAGTTGCTGACGAAGTCAAACCTGACTTTTCTAAGCCTGACTTTATCATTTGGTGCCTTCCTCCTAGAGACTATTTTCTTGTGCGTGTGCTGTTTGCCTTCTTTGTAATGCTAGTGATGAGACTAGCATTACAAGACTTTACCATTGATGGCATCAATTAAGGCTGGCAATGGGGGCTTCATCCTCCACATACAAGGCTGCAGTCAAGGCTAGCTGGACTTCTACAGCACAATTTATAAAGCTGAACTATGATGGATGAAACAGGGGTAACCCTGGTCAGTCAGGAATTGGAGAGAGGGGGCCTTTAGAATGAAAGTGGAGACATCTTAGCCTTATTTTCAGGACCAGGTTACAGGAACTCTATTAGGGAAGAGCTGTTGGCAGCCTTCAAGGGCTGAACCCATTAAAGGATCTAAATTTCACACATCTGATAATTTAAGGGGATTCCAAAGTGGTTGTGGGCTGGCTGCAAAATGGGGACAGGGTTCTGTGGCTATTTAGTAATGTTATTAAGGAGATAAAAGAATTAATGTATAATTAGTTCAGTTGGGTTCATAGCCATTCCTTCATTCCTTAGAAAAGCAGGGGGTGGACAGGGTGGAATTATTTTGGGGAATTGGGGGAATCACTTGATGTACTTATGCTCTCTATGCCTTCCCAATCTCTGGGATGAAGACAATAACACAAAAAATGGAAAAGAGCAACATACACTAAGGCAACATTAGTTTCACTGTAAAAGAAAAAATAAAATTTTCAGTCTGTAAAGTCTCTGTTTTATGGCCCTTCTACATGGAAACAAACACAGAGGCATTTCTCAAGCAATTTGCAGGCATTTCATTATGTATTTCTACAATGTATCCCAACTGCCTCCCTGGTGTTTTAGAACTTGTCCTTGCATGCTTGCATGCATTTGCCATTTTATAAGAAACCACATCATTGTCATACGCTAGGAAATTATTGTTATACTTACAGTTGGAAACATCTGTCTGTAAAGTACATTGAGATCTTCTAAGGCATAATGCTGCCCTGCTTGCTGACCTAATCTTGTGTATAAAATCAATTAGTGCCAAAATGATTCCACTAAGACAACTTTTGCACATATTAATTGATCCACCACCCTTTGAAATTTATGCTTTCAGTCTTCTACCTTCTATGACGACGATTGATAAATAACACTACTTCTGCATGGTTTCTATGTGCATATAAACTTCAAGAAGCATTTTTCTAAAGAGAATTAGACAAAGCTGTAGGTCAAACCTCCTCTATATAAATGGGATGTGTTTTGGGCAATTGGTGATTGACAAAGCAATGGAGGAAACAAAACATAGAACGTGAACCCTATGAGGTGACCCAACCATCAAATCTATCACATTCTATTGCATGGTCTGATAAAATAACGCACTTAGTTCAGGAAAAGAACAGAATACTTGTAGCCAAGGAACCGGGTTTCAAATTTTAAAGGAGCCAATAAGTTAAATCCAACAGTGAAGAATCAGAGAAATGTAATTTAATATCTTGCTAGACTTGGGACCATAGTCGTTTCACTTTCGGTAATGATGGATGCACCATGCACGTATAAATAATATCAAAAGGTTTCTTAAACGCTGCCTCAATTCGGAGGTTATGACAGTCATACGAGTGTATTAGAAGATTACAAGGGAGTAACTGATTTATCGGTTGGGTCGATCCAATTGAATCTGTTCCACCATGCATATACAAGAGCCAGGGAAGATAGACAGATTTATCCCTTCGCTGCAAGTACACCACTTTGAAGGGAAGGTTTTATACGTTAGCTACTGCAGTACCAAAACGAGCACAATTGCCTCCGTATGTAATAAAAGTCAAATGTTGGAAGATTGAAGACTTCTATTCAAATTGAAACAATTCAATTACATAATGAACATCAAAGATTAGAGAACGAACCCCAGTTGGCAAAGGCACCATGATCGTTTTCTTCTTGGAGATAGACTTGACCCATTCGTATCGTGTGACCCCTAATCCGCGCTCCCTCAGTCTCTCCCTCCTCAACTTCTCTTCTGGGGATATGTTACTCTCATCGAGCCCTCCGTCGGGAGGACTAAAAAACAGTTCTCGTTTACAGGTCCTTAGGTCGAAAGCGAAAACCCTCCTATTCAAAGTGCCATCGGGGCTGAATAGATAAGTAATCAAACTATCATCGGGACTAAAAGTGATGGAAGAAGGAGCAACATAGCCTGGCAACGGATACTGGACAATCTCTTCGACAGGGAACAGGAAGCAATCATCATGGGTCTGGGCGACTGAGTTATCAGTTAAAGTCATATCGGAGGGGAATGATCGAACACGTTTCAAATTCTTCTTGTTCGTCTTCGATTGCATTACACAGAAAGAGAAACCTGGAATGACGACAAGACAGCACAAAATCACACAAAATCGTTAGTGAAAAAACAGAGCTATAACAGGGCTGGAGTGAATGACTGCTGGTGATAAGGCATAGAACGTAGTATGTAAAAGTTTACTGGTCTAAGACGATAGACAATGTAAATATGCTGAGAGGAGAATAATAAAAATGGGAAACAGATCGCATTCCAAAGGACAAAAGTTACTTCACTTGCTAAGAAACTCTCTGCATAGGTTCTAACTTCTAAGAGAAATTGAAAACCATCAAGGTAGCCGATCTCCAAAGTAGTAGGATCGAGAACCCTAGGAGTGCAGAATGGTTGGACGTGATTGATAAAAATCAAACATGTCAACCAAAACAGGAGATTATCAGAATTTTGTCGGAATCAGAATATCTTGAAGAACTCGAAATGATGGATCACGAAGAGGTAAATATCTGTATCCGAAACGAAATGTGGTTTATTCGTCGAAATAATCGCTGTGGCTGTGAAATCAAACTCAAAAGTATCAAATAATCGCTGTGGCTGTGAAATCAAACTCAAAAGTATCAAACAGGGATTAGCCGATGGATGTGGAGAAGATCTAGGTYCGCAGTTCTTCCACAGTTCCACCACAATTCTTCGGTTCGGACCTACCAAAAACATAATGCGGGAAACGAAATTGGAATTTTGCCACCGAAGACTTTTGTATTCTTCTATCTGTTTTATTTAAGTGCTACGGTGCTACCACGCCTACGTGACATATGTCCCGTACACTCGGATCAGAACCTTTCTATTTCTGCATATTCGATTCAGAGAATCAGGATTAATGATGAAGAAAGATTCCGATCCCATTGTAGATAGATTGTAACTAGATAGGACCTGTAGATCATCGATGTCGTTGGTACCTCAGGGGACCGGCAGTGTCCTATCACACAAAAGGCCCCTGCTTTCTGTCGGTAAAAGACAAAATGGACCAACCATTAACGAAAATCCCTAGGCTGTTCTGTTCTGGGACCATCAAACGGAGGTCGTCTCTCGCATCTCAACCATTCAAACAGCATCTTGGGACGTTGAATTAGAATTTATTTATTTATTTAAAAAAGCAAGTAACCACAAACCTGTGGACATGTCCGTTTTGGCCTGAGAGATATTTTTTTCGTTTTGGCCCTTGAGAGAATTGACACGTAGCGATTACGGAACATTTTATTTTGTGGTACTGGCACCATGTTATCACTTTGGCGCTCCAAAGAGACGTGATCGGACATCGGAGGGAAAGTCTAGTTGACCGTTTATGTTCAAGTTGCGTGGACCGTGTGGTTTTTCTGGAGACAGGTGTCAGCTCCGTTTTCCACACTTTCCATTAATTTAAACTTAAAATGTTGCTCATTCGACACGTGTACGTGATAAAGTAATCAAATACATTTTTTCGCGCGGTTGTGCCTGTGCGAATTGTAGGAGTGCAACCTGGGCGGCCCAACCCGAGTCCGGACCGATCCAGTCCAACACCTCGAGGCTCGAGCATTTTTATTTTTGGGCTGGCCCGGGCCTAGCCTTTAGGTAGCTCAATCCGAGCCTAGCCCAACTAGTTATACATATATATGTACACGTATTTACACTGGGCCTAATAGGCTCACTTGATCCCATTAACCAACTCGTGCCTAGCATGGCCCCCAGTTCAAATCCAAGTATTTCAACTCTCAATTTGGGTTGGGCCCTGGTTGAAAATTTTGGCTAGGACCTTAGGCCTAATATTTAGGATTGGGCTTGGGTTAGATCTTAAACTCTTCCAGCTCACCCAACTTGCACTCCTAGTGAATTGGTTACATCTTGGTCGGGTCAAATCCGAATCCACCTGATCGAATCTAAACTTTTTTGTTTTTTTATGATTTTTTTTATAAATATATCTGAACTCTTTGGTTGGACTTGAATTTAGCTAGGCATCGTTCCCAAGGCTGTTGGGATGAGGCTTTGCATAGTATAAGCACAATTGAGTTCATGATTACATGGATATGTATGTATGTATTTACATATATAATCACATACATGTATATTACCATTTTTTTTAGTGCAAAACATAAGAAGACTTAAATCCTAAGGCCAAGTATAGACATTGTGGCTTATCCAAACTATCCATCAAATGTGGGATCTGTGGATAGGCCACGTGTTCAATTCCATTGTCCACATATATAGCTTGTTAACTTAACAAATGACCACTAATATATAGCTTGTTAACTTAACGAGTTTTTTTTTCTTTTTTTGTGTTTTTTTTTTAAGCCCGCAGGCAATTCCATTCATCAGTAGACAATATATAGCAAGAACACGTTACACAGGTTATTTTGTTTTGGCCCTAGGCAAAAGGATCAAAATATCGACATATATCATATCCATATCGGTGCATCTAGATATGCTTAAATATACCAACATAAAAAGCTTTTTAAAAACTTTAGTCTTTAAAATAGTCCTTGAGACCCTCTAATGCCTATAAAATTAATTTGGATGAAAGAATTGTTTTGCAAGGTTTGGCTTTCTATACTTGATCTTCCATTCTAGGTATGGCTGTCAATGAATCGGTTTTGGACAGATTGGACATAAAAGATATTGAATTGTCCAGACTTAATGGTCCAAAGTATTTATTGGATTGGATTGAACTCGGTCCGTCCATAATGGATTTATATTGGATTGGGTGAGATTAAACCAATATCCAATCCATTGATAGAAGATAAGAATACAGGTGTCAATGAACCAGGTTTGAATTAGAATCAATCTAAATCAGTAAATATTTGAATATTATGGTCGCCTACCAAAAAAACTTCATATTTGAATACAGTTAGTCGATGCGGAATACCATGGTCTGCAAGTAACTATGTTAGTCGATGATGCAAACTATGCCAGAATTCCTTGCAAACTAGAGGGGATGAAATAAAAGGTTCAGTTTGGAAAGAGTACAAATACAAATATGTAGTGTAAATATAAGGTTTAGAAATACAATATAAAGGCTTTGCACTCAATAAATTTGCATTTGTACTCTTCCCAAACTGAGCATGCTGTGTTTGGTTGCAATGCAAATAAATTTGAACTGATGCAAAACCATGACAGTACAAATGATTTAAGTGTAAATTCTGACTTATTTTTGTTTCAAATTTCAGCTTATTTTGTTTGATTGCAGTACAAATAAAGTAAATTAAGACATGAAGCAGAATAAAGTAAAATCCAAAACAAAATTAAACAAGAATTTGCATTTTTTTTTACATTTGTACTAGTGCAATTTATTTGCACTGCAACCAAACACGGCCAGAAAAGAGAAACAATACGTTAACAATAGCAGTACAATGAATACTTGGAATTATGGATATAATGGAAATAAACCAACAATATCATTATTTTCCATTCGGGTAGTTGTAACTAAACAGGATTACAAATTCTCATCCTTGGTGTCTTATTAGTTACTACTCATGTTCCATTTTCAAACTGCCGAAATATACACGTTTGAAATGGATTCGAACTGATTTCTGTAGATCCAACTTCCAAAAACTAAACCTTATACAATTAATTTATACCTGCCCCATATCACAGGAACGCCCGTGAGGGTTTAAGATGACAGAGGTGGTGGAGACAAGACCTTTAGCTGGTGAGAGTTTAAGATGACAGAGGTGGTGGTGACAAGACCTTTAGCTGGTCTGTACCCGTCTCTGTAATCTTCTTTTCATCTTATTACCCATCACGTTAGAGGTGAACCATATGAACATGACTTTCCTCCAAGTTGCTTCATGGTTTCAACCATCTCAAGTCAAAAGAGAGACGTTGATATCATCACCCTTGTGCATTAGTCACCATTTCTGAATCTTCAACCTCAGAGTTTACCACAAAGCTGGGAAACGCTAGGGTTATGTCCCTGAAGTATGGGAATTCAAAGTTACAAACAGATCAGAGATTCTGCAAGGATAAACACAAAATGTAGAAAATGCACAGAAAATTAATCATGGCCCAGTTCATCCACATATCTAAATTGTTGCTTTCAGATGAGCAGCGTATTACTATAATCTACCCCCAATGGCTGTTATATAGATATCAGGTAAGCAGAGGTGCATGCTTGAGCTGTTCACAGAACTCTAATAATCTAAAAGTTAAACCTTTATCTATCTCTAAGGGGAAAAAAAATTGTAATCACCTAAACCCACGGACCATAAAGTATGCAATGCACGACAAACAACTTGTGGAGAGAACTGTCAAGGCAAAATCATAGGTTGCAAGTTGGCATGTAATATGCAAACTAAAATGTAGAAAAGAGGACCCACTTTAAGTATGGGAGAGTCATATTCTTCATCAGAGAAGGATTCCGTGCTACAAACTCCTTCCACTCTTCCATATCAATTTTTCCATCACCTTTTGAATCAGCATCTATGAATGTCTGGAAAGAGACAAAAAGAAAATAAATAGGATTTAAGTGCACAATGTGTGGTTTGTGAATAGCCATTTTTTACAGTTCATCGATAGCATACACACCTTATCTACAATTGTTTCAACAACATCATCTGAAAGAATCAGATCAGATTCATTTAAAAGAGCCAGTACCATTTCCTTCAACTGCCAAGTGACAAAAACGAATAGTTACTCAGAATTAGAAGTGTGCACACTGGAATAATAAACAGGCACAGACTCACCTCAAGATATGATTATAAATGCAAAAAAAATATTTTACTTGTGATATATGGAGTCAAAAAATTCAATAAAAAATAGTCCAAATCATGCACATATGTTTATCATCCTTGTACACAGGTTAAGAGTTTATGCAAAATATATCATGATTATAAATTTAAGATATGTAGTGCTAAAACATTTTAGTGCAAGTTTCAACAAGCACTTGATTTGAAGTTATGTACTTGAACTTTGCATCAATATCAACAATAGTACAAAAACTAAGGGGGGAGAAAAGCGAACAAAATAGTGCAGATCATTCTCATCAGTTTTATATACCATGTAAGAAAGTCTCTCTTCTCAAAATAATTCAAAAGCTGCAAGGGCAAATGCAGAATTATCATTAAGTTGGAATGGAATGGCATGTATCTTTGTAGGTAGTGGAAGGTTCCATTACAGGGAAACCCTAATTTGCAATTCAAATAGCTATCAATATCTAAGAAATGCCTTTATACTCTTCCAAGTTGGACCTATAGGAGTTGCCAAATAGGCTTTACAATTGATATCAAGTAGGACAGCAGCTTGAACTAGAAAAGGTATGCAAGTCTTGGCAAAAGTTCATTCTAGAGAAGGCAATGAGGTTGAGCATGTGGACACACGATTTGAAGCCCATTGGTCTGGTTGCATCATAGTGCAGTTTTCATCATGATCATTTTCTCTGCATTCCACAACCATAACCATCTCAATGTGGAATTAAAACAAAACAATAACCAGAGGCACAGTGCATAATTTTCAACAGGAACAAACAATGGATATGGCATTAAACAGAATGGAATGGTGAAACAGGATTCATGTAGCTGACTCCATATAGTTGGGAAAAGATGATGAACAAATAAAGAATCAACAAAGCTATAACTGCATTGCCTTAAATACAATGTACAACAGCAAAAAAAATATAAATAAATAGAAAAAAAAATTGCAGTACTACCTCTTCACGTTCAATATAGCCGGTATACCTTAGATCATACAATCTAAACGCAACTGCCACAATATTTTGTAAAAATTATTAGTAAGGAACATACTGAGTAGGATGGCATGAAAAAGAAACTATGATCCCAAAGAGAGAAACATCACATAGAAAATGCTGAAATTTCCAATAGAAAAAAAAAATGATAAACATCAAAATAAAACTAAATTTATATATTATGGCAAGTAATTTCTTACAAGCAATTTTGTCAGATTGAGGAGTGTTTGGGTGAAAGACACTCAACGATCGAACAAACTCTCCAAATTCAATAACTCCATTGCGCTTGACATCAAACAGATCAAAAATCTGCATGAAAGGTCCAAGAGACAATGCAATTACACAACTAAGAAAACCGGGACACATGCATATTGTGACAAAAGAAAAATAAAAGAAAAAAAAATGTTGAATACAATTAAAAATGAACTTATCTATGCAGTTCATCCTAATCAAGCTACATGGAACAATTAGTGCTAATAATTTAACTCCAAATAATCATTATCTCTTGGAGGTTTTAATCTTATCCACCCATTACTCATACTACATAGGACAACTAAGAAGCAGCAGCAAGGTTGCTGGTGTATTCAAATACTGCAATAACAAGTTTAACTGTGCATATATCAACAAAATAATATACTATGGGTGCAGACAAACAATAATGAAATAATTAAGCACCTCAATGTTCTAAGCTTTCTAATGTAAGACCATCAAATATTTACAAGAACCTCTGTAATCTCCAAGATAGCAGCTCATAGCTTTTCAGAATTATGGGTAACCTCCAAGAAAAGGAATAAGGACATAAATCCAATGGAACTTCTAGACAGATTATTCATACTTTCAGGGAACAAATAAAATAAGCTTAAACCCCATAAAAATGAAAAATTAATGAGCTAATATTACACACCCTATCTGCAAAAAGATTCCGCTTGTTGCTGTTCCTGAAAAGTGCAAACTGGAATTCTTCCTGAACACCAAGATAGATTAATTAATTAGTGCTCAAAGTATGAGGTTCAAAGTACTCAAAGTGCTCAAAGCATCAGAATGCAAACCTTAGGGGTAATACCTTGTGAATAAGCCCATCATCAATTATTGAACTGCTTAGTTTCTTAAATAGTTCATATAAAGCCTCTACTTCACTCACAGTGACTGTCATGGAGGAAAGTATTAGTTTAAATTTCTACATATAACCATTAGAAATTATGATTGGTTACAACTGTCATGCTGTAGAAGATGTTACACAGTATGAAGAAGCATGATACATTTCTATACTGCTACATGCACACAACATATCAGATTTCCACCTGCCAAACAAATTCAGGCTGCAATTATGTCAAAACTATATGGATGTCTAGAATGGAATTAACTCCATGGTACTCACATGTGCCAACCTAATTCCTAACCTAACCATGTCATATACATTGGACACATCCATAGGGGTCAGGCCCCAATGTCCAGTTGACCAAAGGCCTTGATGACCTATCCAACACTAAGTACCAATAACATGCAGATGTCCTGAGTCTCCTGACTCAAGCATATCTTTAAACAGAAGAATGGTATGTTAATGGTTTAAATTCAGTGAAGTCGTTATCATTACCAATACAAATGTATAGTTGATATGTGCTCATAAATTACACTAGAGTGGGAAAAACTTGGAAGTTAAAGCTTCTTTGAAAAATGCGGGGATGAAATTAAAACATACAGTTGCCGAGAAGTTAGAGGAAAAGAAATAAAATATACTCACAAGATGTTTCAGATGCAAGAATAGTAGGCTCCTCATAGCCAGGTGTTTGTCTAGAATGCTTCGAGCAAAAGCAGCCCATAAAAACAAGCACAATCCTGATATAAGATTATTCTAAATTTATTCCTGCCAATATCCATACAAGGGAAGTTTTCAATGACATTGCATCAAAATGTGCTTAAGTTTGTATAATATCAGGAACTAGAAACTTGTATTCTCATTCTAAAACATTAGGAAATGTGGTTTACAACAATCCAAAACATCTGTCTGGTCACTTGTTGGAGGTGCCAGGAAAAAAAATCCAATCGGATAATAGAACTAGACCAAAACAAATTGTTGTAGTAGTGAGCAAACAATCAGATAACCCACCTGATAGGCTGATACATGCCCATATGAACTTGAAGTTTCAATTATCATGAGTCAAACTATCAGCCTGTACAATCTATTGCCCACCACTATATATTCAAATATACATGCTCAAAAGTGGGTAATTTGTTTCTTAAGAAATCTAAATTGCTCCAAAGGGCTAACTGTGTAATGAAAATAAAAACAATTCAACTACAAACTATTCAACTGTTCACCAAGGAAATAACCAAGTAACCTTTGAAGAAATGTTCAAATATTAGGAGTTTGCAAGTGTTTTGAGACCCTTCACCCATATATATTTTAATCTAATAAAGACTTGAATGGTGAAAAGGCCACTATCGGTGGTGACTTTGTGTATTGACTTTATTAATCAAGGCTCATAGTTGCCAAATATTGTGATTTATTATGACTCAAATCATGAACCTTAAGGGTTCCAATTCAGATCCTACATCTAAATCCTTTTATGAAAAAAACAAGACTTATGGTTACTGTTTGAATTTTATGTTTCAATTTTGGAATCTTATGTTTTATACTATTCATGTGATTCAAATCAATTTCATAGGAGACCTAGTTCTCTAGTTTGTCATTTCTCCGTTGTAATTTTCAAGGGGCTTTTGTTTTAAAACCTTTACTATAATAAGATTTATTTTTTATAGTGAGGAAAAAGAATTAACAATTGTAGAGAACATTGATGTGGGCCCCACAGCTATGGTCCCACTCTGTCCGTAGGGTAGAATGTATCTAGTCACAGCTGTGGTTATTTTGCTATTCTGTTATTTCTAGTTTCAGTTTTATGTTAGCAGTTATGATGTAAACACCAAGGGCA